AGACCTTAAAAGAGCAGTGCGTGACAGACAGCCCAGAAATCTCAAAGAACTGGAAGACTTTTGTAAGGAAGAATGGGCAATGATACCGCAAACAAGAATTGAAAGACTCTTGGCTGGCTACAAAAAGCGTTTACAAGCTGTGATACTTGCCAAAGGGGGCAGTACAAGATATTAACTCTGCAGGGTGCCCAAACTTTTGCAGACGCCATTTTTTGGTTTTCTGTTATTTTGAAAGTGTAAATGATGGAAATAAAATCTAACTTTTGTTGACATATTATAAGAATGTCTAATCTGTAATTTGATGCCTTTGATGCCTTGGAGATTTTTCCATCTTTCCTTGGCTTCTTTATGCACATTAATACAAATTTTTAGCTGGGGTGCCCAAACTTTCGATCCCCACTGTATATATATATATATATATATATATATATAAAATGTGTTATGCATACCATAAAGTGCAATCACGCAATAATTGACTACTCAAACTATGTAACTTAAAGCTTACTGTATAACCACAATTGCAGATGGTGAAAAATATTCAGCAATCAAAAATTTTAAAATTGTATGTCAAAAATGTATATAAAAATATTCAAAAAATATTGGAAAAAGTGCTACTATGCAATAAATAATCAAAATACAATTCATATAACCACTAATAACAAATAATCAGCAATCAAGTGTATAAGATATTAAATCGCTACTGTGCAATAAATATTCAAATCACACAATATCCCAAATTTAAATAAAATTAAATTCACCGTGATATATATATTGCGTGATACAACATATAGAAGAATGTCCACCATAAATAGCAAATTCGTGTGTCTTCTTATCATGCACCACTAAAACAAGTTTATGTGTTTTTCCACCACTGGATAAATTGGATGAACTCACCAGAGCTCCAGGCTGGTAATATTATAAACCAGCTATAAACGCATGAAATCTGGGATTAGGAACCTGCAGCCAAAAACACTTCTCCTCTCAGACACCCTTCTCAGGAATACGTAGCCAGGAAATACACCTTGTCTCAACCTTTCTGCTGAGCGTTCCCTTTATATCTCATTCGGTCCCATGGATCAGGAAAGAAAGAGGAAAAACTCCAATCGTGTAGCACCATAAAAAAATCTTTAATAAAATCTAATCCATAAAACTCACATTTCTGAGTGTCACCACTGACACTGGTATATAATGCAATTTTAGAAAAAAGGCCAATGCCTCCCGCTATACACTATGATCCAGCATGTGTGATGACACTCAGAAATGTGAGTTTCAAGAATTAGATTTTATTAAAGATTCTGTTATTTTACGTGGCCTACCACTTGGTGGCTGAGTGGTTGTTGTTCCCGGTTGCTTCCACTTTGTTATAATACCGCTAACAGTTGACCATGGAATATTCACTGAGCTCCTAAGAGTGGCCCATTCTTTCACAAATGTTTGTAGAAGCAGTCTGCATGCCTAGGTGCTTGATTTTATACACGTGTGGCCATGGAGGTAATTGGAACACCTGAATCCAGTGATTTGGAGGGATGTCCCAATACTTTTGGAAATGCAGTTGTCAGCGACCGACTGGCGGTAGCCTCTAGCAGCCCACTGGCCGGGATCCCCCAGGGCGCGGAGTCTAAGCCTCAGTCTGCTGGTTCACCAGAGCCCCTGATGGTGGGGATGGACTTGAAGCAGCCTGAGACCAGGTCGCGACCCCCCAAGGAACACCAGCTGTGGTAGAGGCGGAAGCCAATGGCGTAGAGCAGGTGAGAGCCAGATGTGAAGAGGTATGCGTGGTCAGACGGGCCGGGTCAGTAACAGCGGAGCAGACAGTGCAGAGCGGCAGGCAGAAGAATAACAGGTCACAAGCCGGGTTCAGTAACAGGAGGTCAGGCATTCAGGATCAGGCAGAGAATAGTCAGGACTTAGCCAGGGGTCAGAGCAGGAGAAGGCAGCAGTATCAGGACAGGCTTGGGTCGGCAACAAGGCATCAGACACACAGGAATAATCAGGAACACAGGAACAGGACAAGACCAGAAGGCGATTTGGAGATGCACAGGGCAGGTTTAAATAGGCCGCCCTGTGCTCTCATTGGTGCGGGCCGCGATCGCTAGTGCGCATGCGCAGTCGCCGCCACGATCGCCTAGGATTCAGTGCTCGCTGGATCAAACGAGTCGGCGCTCTGCGCATGCGCGCACCGCCGAGGCGCCGGGATCCCTGACAACAGTGTATATATTTTTGCATTAAAAGCAGAACGTTACAAGGGGATAGAAAGATAAAGCTCACTGCTAGAGATTTTGATAGTTTGTGGAGATAGCTTATAGTGTGAAAGGTCCTGGTGCATTAAGGTTTTACCAAGAAGGCCTGTCATGAAAGGAATAAATGGAGGCTGCCATCACTGTCCTTGTAAAACTCTAGAATACTACTAGCCTGCTTGCTTTTCTGACTTCAAAACTTTCAGTAGGAAACTGGAACAATTATGCAGAACAGGGCTCTTCTCTTTTTTTTTTTTTTTTGCCTTTTCTTTGAATTCTAACTGTATGCTTGTTTCAGGTCAGTGAGATACCAAGTGTTTTCAGAAGCTGTTCCCAATATTTATTTGGTAATGAATGCTTAAGCGCTTAAGGACTGCCCTATAGCAGATATACAGCTGCAGGGCAGCACCTGTACGCAAGATCACGGATGTCAATCACCGGGTCCCGGACGGTAATTACCCGCTGGCGCCTGGTGATTACCGAGCATCTCCGACGGGGGGGAAGATTGTTTTGTTTACAAACAATCTTCCTCCCTGTCATCTCGAGCACACTGCTCAGGATGGCTGTGCACAATACAGCCATCCCGATCAGTGTGCTTACAGTGAAGATCACCCCCCGCACCCCCCCCCCCCCCCCCGAACCCTAGTAAAACACTCCCAGCACACAGTTAACCCTTTGATCACCCCTTCCATTAACCCCTTCCTGCCCAGTGCCATTACTACAGTGTCCGTGCTTTTTTTAGCACTGATCACTATTGGTGTCACTGGGGTGTTAGTGACACCAAGTTATTCCCCCCCCCCCAGTGTCAGAATGTCTGCCACAGTCCCACTAAAAGTCACTGATCGTCGTCATTACTAGTTGAAAAAAAAAATCCCATTATCTATACCGCCATTTGTAAACGCTATAATTTTCACGTAAACCAATTAATTTACACATATTGGGATTTTTTTTTTTAGCAAAAACATGTAGCAGAATACATTTTGACCTAAATTTATGACGAAATTTGATTTTTAAATTTTTTTTTACTGGACATGTGTAATAGCAAAAAGTCCAAAATATTTTTTTTCTCAAAATTGTCGGTCTTTTTTTCTTATAGCACAAAAAATTAAAAACCGCACAGGTGATCAAATACCAACAAAAGAAATTTCAATTTGTGGGAAAAAAAGGATGTAAATTTCATTTGGGTGCAGCGTTGCATGACCGCGCAATTGTCAGTAAAATTAACCCAGTACTGTAATGCAAAAAATGGCCTGGTCATGAAGGGGGGTAAATCCTCAGGAGGTCAAGTGGTTAAAGTGACATCATCGCTAAAAAATAATGTCTAAAAGCAAACCATACCTGTAAAAGAAGATAGGATATACTCACTTTTTTCTGCTCTGCTCAAAAGCTGAGGAATCTCCTTCTGCAGTCTAACAGATAACCAATGCATCTAGGAGTGCTGATCTCCTGGGTTCTCCAAGATGTCAGCAGGAGGAACTAGTGATAGCTGCAAGGGGCCTAGGAGATGTCCGAAATTTCATTTTTTTGTGTAGATTTCAACAGAAGTTTTTTCAGAGCAGAATTAGTCAGTGCAGGCAGCAGGAAAGTGGAGTATGTCCCATCTTCTTTTACATGTATGGATTGCTTTAAAACTTTCCTATGGTCCTTAACCCCCCTGGCGGTATTCCCGAGTGTAGCTCGGGGTAAAATTTGAGTACCAAGAGCATTAACCCCAAGCTACACTCGGGCTTACCATGCGGCGTTGCTCAGGGAGTCCCTGCAGTGCTTACCTTGTCCTTCGCTCCCACGATGTGTCCCCTGCAGTGTCCCCGGCCATCTCCTCCGGCCGATGCTGGCATCCGGCTTCCGTGTTCCGGTCCCTGTGACGTTGGGACGTACGGGCGCCGGAACCGGTGGCAAATTTGAAATTTTAAAAAAATGTCATTTTTTTTAAAATGATTATCACATAGTAAAACATTGCTGTTTCAAACCATTTCACATACATTTTGTCCCGAGTGCTTTGTCCGGCGCCCTGCCTGCATTTTGACTGTTCTTTCTGCCTGGAAACTGAGAAACGTCCATGGCGTCCAAAATGCGTCCCTTTACGTCAAAAGCGATTTTAGACCGGCTAGAGAACAGCGATAGTAAATCAGAACCACTTGCAGAATTGAGTGATAATGATTCGTGGGGGAAATTCGTCATCAGACACTGAAAACGATTTTGCGACTTTGCTCAGTGATGTGCGAATTTGCCTCTGTATTTCAAATTTCAGTGTTTTTGGTTTGATTATATTATTGAATTAAATTTATTATTATTATATTATTATTTTTTATGATTATTTATTAAATTATAATTTATGATTTCGTGTTTCAAATTGTATCATATCCGGAATGTTTAATAGACTCTTGTTCGGACAGATTTCAGTGAGTTATTCCTAAAAATTACAGCCTACAATAAAAAAACTACATATTTCCATGCAAAAAAATGTACCGCTTTCAGCACAAAAAAATCGGAAAGAATCAGACCGCCAGGGAGGTTAAGGGGTTACAATTGTTCAGTTTCTTTCTGTGTCATGTTATCTGTCCGTTATATATGCTACATTACAGTATTTAAAGGGCATCTAATATATTGTCATACATTTACTCACATACAGTATTCCTAAGGAATACACACATTTTACACATAACCTTTTACATCTAGAAGGAATAGAAGGTTATGATTGTGAACTGTTCACAGTTGCTCATTTCAAAGTAAAATTTTGGTATTTTTTTTCTTCCCTTGCAGGATCTTTATTATCAGTCTTACTCACAGGTTGGTGTGATGTTTGCCTCCATTCCTAATTTTAATGATTTTTACATAGAACTTGATGGCAATAATATGGGAGTGGAATGTTTACGACTTTTAAATGAAATTATTGCTGATTTCGATGAGGTAAGACTTACTCTGAGATATTTTCATTTCATATTTATACAGTGTTCTAAAAATGCACTTTTAAGGTGATGTTAGCATGATTTGTATCAGACAAACAAATTTATCAGTTGCTTATATCTTATCTCTTGTGTTGCTGTAATGTGTAATATCAGTTTCTTACATGGAATCTATGCACTGTATCACACCCCCATTTCTTCTTTGGATGTCCTATGTTATGTTACTGTATGTTATGTTATGTTATGTTACTGTATGGTATGTTATGTTACTGTATGGTATGTTGTTATGTTACTGTATGTTATGTTACTGTATGTTATGTTATGCTACTATATGTTTTATGTTATGTTACTGTATGTTATGTTATGTTACTATATGTGTTTTATGTTATGTTACTGTATGTTATGTTACTGTATGTTATGTTACTGTTACTATATGTTATGTTGTTACTGTATGTTATGTTACTGTTTGTTATGTTTTTACTATATGTTATGTTACTGTATGTTATGTTATGTTACTATATGTTATATGTTATGTTATGTTACTATATGTTATGTTACTGTTTGTTATGTTATGTTACTATATGTTATGTTTTATGTTATGTTATGTTACTGTATTATGTTATGTTATGTTACTGTTTGTTATGTTATGTTACTGTATGTTATGTTACTGTATGTTATGTTACTGTATGTTATGTTACTATATATTATGTTACTATATGTTATGTTACTGTATGTTATGTTACTATATGTTATGTTACTGTATGTTATGTTACTATATGTTATGCTATGTTACTGTATGTTATGTTATTGTATGTTTATGTTATGTTACTGTATGTTATGTTATGATGTATACACCATGTCTTCAATAAACATTTTTTCTTGATTAACAAAAAAATGCATTTTTCATGTTCAGGGTCAGATTTATGTATAGCCATAGTCATGACCTCAGGGCATCAGAGCTGATGGGAGTTGCACGCAGCCATCCACATGTGCAATGTGAATGACTGCTCAGTTTTTTGTGTACAGTTTGGGACATTTTTGTTGGTAGAATGGCATACCACATATTTACAGTTAGCCCACTTTGAGTGAAAAGATGACAGTGGGGTAGATTTACCAAACCTAGTGCTCACAGAATCTGGTAAAGCTGTGCATAGTAACCAATCATCTTCTAATTATAGCCGCTTGCAGCAATCTTTGTGAACTTCCAGCCAGGAAGGCTCTCTGCACCCCCCCCCCTCCCGGCCACCAAAACACAATAGTGCTTTGGGAGGCATTCCCCCTTCCCCCTTCAACACTGACTGTGTTGATGGGGAGATCAAGTGATTTTATTTCCTTTCACTCATGGTGGAAGGAAATAAAATCAATTCATCTATGGCTTGCTTTGCTGTATATGCCTACCTCTCTGTTAGACATCTAGCTGCTTTTGTTAATTATCATTATTTGATGTATGTTAGTGTGTACCATTGTCAGAGTATTTTAGTCTATGTATACCAATATGTATGTTTACATTTTATGTTTATGTATTTTTATATCAATATGATAATACTTATTTAAGATGTATTATGAATTATAAAAAGTAATGCATTTAATTCACAAAATATAACAATTTATAAAGGTGCCCTGGAATTCTGTGACTTTCATAAAGCCTTAATATTTCTGTTTTTACACGATTACTGTATTTTTACCCATATAAAAATATATGGCCTTATGTCTGTGTATGGGACACAATATATATATATACCATCCTTGAAATTTCCTTTCTACTAAAGATTCCACAGTCAGCTGTTAGTGGTATTATAACAAAGTGGAAGCAACTGGGAACAGCAGCAATTCAGCCATGAAGTGGTAGGCCACGTAAAGTGACAAAGTGGGGTCAGCGCATGCTGAAGCGCACAATGTCCAGAAGCCTCCAATTGTCTGCAGAGTCAATAGCTAAAGACCTCCATTCTTCATGTGGTCTTCTTCAGATAAGCACAACAGCAGTGCGTAGAGAGCTTCATGGAATGGGTTTCAATGGGCGAGCAGCTGCATCCAAGCCTTACATCACCAAGTTCAATACAGAGCGTCGGATGCAGTGGTGTAAAGCACTGCGCCACTGGACTCTAGAGCAGTGGAGACGTGTTCTCTGGAGTGACAAATCATGCTTTTCTGTCTGGCAATTTGATGGACGTGTCTGGTTTTGGCAGTTGCCAGGAAAACGATACTTGCCTGACTGCATTGTGCCAAGTGTAAAGTTTGGGGATTATGCTATGGGGTTATTTTTCAGGGGTTCGTCTTGGCCCCTTAGTTCCAGTGAAGGGAACTCCTAAGGCATCAGCATACCAAGACATTTTGGACAATTTCATGCTCTCAACTTTGTGGGAACAGTTTAGGGATGGTCCCTTCCTGTTCCAACATGACTGCGCACCAGTGCACAAAGTCAAGTCCTTAAAGACATGGATGAGTGAGTTTGAGGTGGAGGAACTTTACTGACCTGCACAGTTCTGACCTCAACCTGATAGAACACCCTTGGGATGAATTTAGAGCGTCCAGACTGTGAGCCAGGCCTTCTTTGCTGTCCAGGTATACATTATTTTGCAGTGCCTGACCTCACAAATGTTCTTCATAAGTGTTCACAGCTCAGGTGGTAGAGAATCTGTCCGCAAGTCAACTATTAGTCGTGCACTCCAAAAATCTGGCCTTTATTGAAGAGTGGCAAGAAGAAAGTCGTGCATTGTTAAAGGAAAAGAAAGCCATGAGAAGTCCCATTTGCAGTTCGCGAGAAGCCATGTGGGGGACACAGCAAACGTGGAAGAAGGTGCTCTGGTCCGATGAGACCAAACTTGAACTTTTTGGCCTAAAAGCCAAACGCTATGTGTGGCAGAAAACTAACACTGCAGATCACCCTGAACACACCATCCCCCACTGTGAAACATGGTGGTGGCAGCATCATGTTGGGATGCTTTTCTTCAGTAGGGACAGGGAAGTTGGTCAGAGTTGATGTGAAGATGGATGGAGCCAAATACATGGCAATCTTAGAAGAAAACCTGTTAGAGTCTGCAAAAGACTTGAGAGCAGGATAGAGGTTCATTTCCAGCAGGACAATGACCCGAAACATACAGCAAGAGCTACAATGGAATGGTTTAGATTAAATCATATTCATGTGTTAGAATGGCCCAGTCAAAGTCCAGATCTAAATCCAACTGACAAGACTTGAAAATTGCTGTTCACAGACGCTCTCCATACAATCTGACAGAGCTAGAGCTTTTTTTGCAAAGAAGAATGAGCAAAAATGTCACTGTCTAGATGTTCAAAGCTGGTAGAGACATACCCAAAAAGACTTGCAGCTGGAATTGCAGCAAAAGGTTGTTCTACAAAGTATTGACTCAGGGCTGAATACAAATGCACGCCACACTTTTCAGATATTTATTTGTAAACAATTTTGAAAAACATTTATCATTTTTCTTCCACTTTACAATTATGTGCCACTTTGTGTTGGTCTATCACATAAAATCCCAATAAAATATATTTATGTTTTTGGTTGTAACATGTGCATGTTGCAACAAAATGTGGAAACTTTCAAGGGCTATGAATACTTTTTCAAGGCACTGTATATATACACAAATTGATGTCTTGACATTTGCCAAAAACTGTATTTTTTAATATGTGAAAAAGAGAATAGTCATTTTTTTATGACTGTCCCCATAATTTTACTTTAAACTGAAATTCATCACTTTTGTTAATACGAATAAAGTGGCAGTATAAGGTTTATTAGGCTTACTTTGTTACAGCTCATGGAAAAAGAATGCTACAGGGACATTGAAAAAATCAAGACAATTGGAAGTACATACATGGGAGCTGTAGGACTGGTTCCAACAACAGGAACAAAGGTAGAAGAATATTTATAAAATGTATAGTTTTGAATATTTTTTATACTTGTTTCTATAAATTCTATCTGGTGGAAATGAATATTGTTGCATTGCTGTAAATTTGCAAATAGAAATATTAGTTTGCAGACTATATAAGTTTGATTGAAATTACAATCTTTCTCAAATAATAACATGGGGATATGGAGTATTCCTTGTATATCAAAGTCCAACTGTAGTTGCAAACATAACATGTGAGAGTGAAGCAAGGATTTTGAGTGATGTTACTTATAGTGAACATTGGAATTTCAATGGCTTTCCACATCTATACTTCCGCCTACCAGGATGCCAGTAGCCAATGTTCTGAAAAGTTTAAAAAACCCTCCTCCCCAGTCACTCCAAATCCTGGTTGATTGTGATATGATCTATCGGAAACTTAGAAGCAGGATGTTCCATGTAAACAGGTTCAATCAAAGTAAGTATATGCCACAATATTTTATATATGTGGCATAACAGATCTATCTGCTTACAAGAGTGAATATATGAAATACTTGTTAATCACCTGCCTCTGAAATCTATTGGTAGCTTCAGAGACAAATCTTAGGGATCAGCATTGACTATGACATATTAGTCACATTATAGGGCAATATATGGGACCTCACACATAAAACAACAAACAAATAATGAGGTCTTTCCCCCAAATTCCATATCTGAGCATGCAGCCTGGCAGGCCAGGAAAGTAAGGGGAAGAATATGTGCCCCTCTCCTGAATTATGCCATCAACATTTGGGAGTACCCAATTTTAATAGGAACAAGGGCCTTTTCTCCACAACCTTGGCATGGGGTGATGGGGATCTTTTAGCAGAGGTCTTATCAAAATCTCAAAGCACCTTTTAACACTGAGGAGGTCCCTAGATACCGCCCTCCCCCCAATGTTAATGAGTAACGGGGGCATATTACAAGAAAAGGCAAACAGTAAATAAACACACAGACACTTTTGACAAGTTTATTGAAAAAAAGAACAAAGTCCCACAAGTCCCATCATCAATGATTTCATCCATGAACAACATTGATGCCTAAAGAAAGGCCTAGCCTATAAGTATAAGTATATATATATAAATAAAATAAGTAAAGATGCAGAAATGAAGCTTCATGGGTGACAGAAAAGGCCTACAAGAATGGTACTTGCGCTAAACAGTATTTTTTATAAACAACTTTGTGTGCTTTGATCTGGCATTCTTTTGGCATTATTGCAACAAGCGGATATGAACAGTACAGAGGATTTGCAAATATCATATGTTTACATTAGGAGGGGTAAGGCAAATAAATTGTAGACTGATGATTTTTTGGGGGTTGATTTGTATGTGCACAGTGCAAAAGAATGTTTATTTAGCTTAAGCCAGCCATTGATGGGATGATTTTGTTTTCTGGAAACACTGGGTGTTAGAAAAGAAAACCGCTTGATTCCCCCATCAACACAGTCTCCCGAGGAGCCATTGGGCACAATTCACTAAGTGGTATCTTACCGCATCTGAGTATGTGGTAGGATACCACATAGCATTTTTTTTAAACGTTTGAATTCACTAAAAAATGCTACTAAAATACCGCATTAGTTATTTTATCAAGTCATGCGGTATTTTAGTAGTGAAAACCATGCGTTAATGTTACAGGGAACCCCACTGACAGCTGAATGTAAAAGAACAATTAAATAAATAATTAAAAAAACGGCGTGGGGTCCCGCCGTGGGGTCCAGGGCATGCTTGGTCAATGATGTTACACGGGTGATGTTATCGGGTGGTCCTGCCCCTTACATATTTAAGATCTGTCAAGCCAGCGTCGGGAGTGGAGCCTTTGTTTGTTTTCTTTTTTCGGGGTGGTGGCGGCGGGCATCGTGATTGACATTGGATCTACTTTGGGGGACATTCTTTTATTTTACTTTTTATAAAGGACTTGTCAAAGCCTGTCTCCTGTTTTTTTTCACACTACAGGTTTTTTACTGTGTGAATGGGTAGCGGTACCATGTACCCCATACTCATTCACATGGGGGGGCAGGATCTGCGGGCCCCCTTGCTATTCCAGATTCCAGTAAGCCTGCAGAACCCCATAACCACAGCCCAGGGTTGTGAGGAAGAGGCCCTTGTCCCCATCAACATTGGGGCACAAGGTGCTTTGGGGGGGAGCCCCCCTCTGCTCCACAGCACCCCCCATGTTAAGGGGCATGTGGCGTGGTATGGTTCAGGATGGGAGGGCGCTCGCTCGTCCCCCCCTTTTCTGACCTGCCGGGCTGCATATTCAGATAAGAGTCTGGTATGGACTTTGAGGGGCACCCCATGCCATTTTTTTTTAATTTTTGGTGTGGGGGGGGGGGGGGGGTTCCAGTCAAAATCCAAACCAGACCTGACGGGCTTGTTATGGATGGGGGTGGGAGGAACCCCACGCCGTTGATGGTTTTTAATTATTTTTTTTTTATTTTTTACACATTCAGCTGTCAGTGGGGAACCCTGCTGACAGCTGATGACTCATAGGTTGTTAGGGACTCGGCGGCCATCCAGTCCTTAACAACCCATGTCCGTACTGACAGATAACAGTACATACCGCATGCCTGGACCACTACGTAATTATCGAATGCATTTAATTATTTATTTCCTTTTGTGAATTGCCTTTAAGGTCTTTTTATGTGGTATTTACCTAGTGTTTTTGCTGTTTTCTGTAAATACTGCATACTAGGGATAGTAAATGGACACTTCCAGTATCCTATGTGGTCATGTGACCGACTTAACTCATGTGATAAGCTTTAGTGAATTGTGGCCATTGTCTTCTCCTGACGGAGGGAGCCATCCCCGCCAGAAGAACACAGTGATTACTGCTAGAGGCTATAATAGCCACTAATTGTATGTAGAATCCAACAGGCTGGTTGTACCGATTGATCGATTTGGGTCCATTCAGCCTGTCCATACATGGTTCAAATTTCAGGATGGTCCTTGTTGAATCGGCAAGATTTTTGAACCGTCTATGGCTGGCTTTAGTCAAAAACGGTGAAACTGCAGTCCCATTGATTCACATGTAAAACAAATTTGCAAAAAACAGGAGTTTTGCTGGCATGTAATTGGGTGGTTGAAGGGAACACAGCTTTGCCTTATCCACTAAGCCAAGTGAACTTTTGCTTGCAAAGTGAACATACACTTTTCAAAACTGTTACTTTAGTAAATCAGCTCCAGTAAGTTCTTAAAACAAGGGTCTTAATAAGGCATAGGTCAGTGTGATGCAGTGATTCACATATGAAAAGTTGACTACACATCTACCTGCTGGCAGAATGGAAGACTATATAAAATTATTATGCAATATTTCATATTTTTCATGACAAAAACAAAGAAATGTTATTGGTTTAGCCCTACCAATGACAAACAATGAAAGAAAGTATGTACAGCTTTTTTTTCAACAGCAAACTGATCTACATTCAATTTAAAACAGCAGAACAACTGTAAAAAAAAACTGTTTAAAGCTAAGTTTTGACATGACTGTGGGCTAAAGGTGATATCTACTTATTATTATAGTAATACAGGAGGGCTCTTTTTTTCAGCTGGAACTAGTGGATTCAGTTCTACCACCTCTCGCTAAGGCCCTTTGCTCCCTGCTCACCACTATCATTTGTAAACACAGAAGTTCAGCTTCTGTGTTTACAAGTTACAGCTTGTCTCCCAATGGCTGCCACAGATGTGATCTCCTGAGCGGCTCCCATTCCCATGCAAATGAGACAAATGGAGCCACTTACAGTGTGCGGGGAGATACTAGAGCCAGATGGGTGATTCAGCTTAATACAGTAATAAAAGTAAGAAACGTGGAAGTTGGTAGAGCATTTAAGGGGGAAGGAGAAAAGTCGGGGGCAGTGGAGGGGGGTTGCATGCAGAGGTCAAAGCTGAAGAGGGGTGAAAGTGAAATGTGGATGGGGCATGTAGAGGCTAGCAGCTGTGGAAGAAGGCTGAACTCTGCTCTCTGTATGCAGTGCATCCCTGAACTCTGCACTATGTACATAGCACACCCCCGAACTCTGCACTCTGTATGCAGTGCATCCCTGAACTCTGCACTATGTACATAGCACACCCCCCGAACTCTGCACTCTGTATGCAGTGCATCCCTGAACTCTGCACTATATACATAGCACACCCCCGAAACTCTGCAGTCTGTATGCAGTGCATCCCTGAACTCTGCACTATATACATAGCACACCCCCGAACTCTGCACTCTGTATGCAGTGCATCCCTGAACTCTGCACTATGTACATAGCACACCCCCGAACTCTGCAGTCTGTATGCAGTGCATCCCTGAACTCTGCACTATATACATAGCACACCCCCGAACTCTGAAGTCTGTATGCAGTGCATCCCTGAACTCTGCACTATATACATAGCACACCCCCCCGAACTCTGCAGTCTGTATGCAGTGCATCCCTGAACTCTGCACTATATACATAGCACACCCCCCGAACTCTGCACTCTGTATGCAGTGCATCCCTGAACTTTGCACTATGTACATAGCACACCCCCGAACTCTGCTCTCTGCATGCAGTGCATCCCTGAACTCTGCACTATGTACATAGCACACCCCCGAACTCTGCACTCTGTATGCAGTGCATCCCTGAACTTGCACTATGTACATAGCACACCCCCTGAACTCTGCAGTCTGTATGCAGAACTCTGCTCTCTGCATGCAGTGCATCCCTGAACTCTGCACTATGTACATAGCACACCCCCGAACTCTGCAGTCTGTATGCAGTGCATCCCTGAACTCTGCACTATATACATAGCACACCCCCGAACTCTGCACTCTGTATGCAGTGCATCCCTGAACTCTGCACTATATACATAGCACACCCCCCCAAACTCTGCACTCTGTATGCAGTGTGTGTGTGTGTAGAGGGAGGGGAGATTTGGGGGGGTCATGGTTGAGTTCCCACACCTGTTTTTTTTTAGAAAAAAAGCCCTGTAATATATATATTTTATATATATTTTTTCTTTCTTAAAATGGGTTTGTACTAGATTGATGTATCACAGTAAGACTCAGAAACCTGGAGGTTATGTAGTCTATAAGAGCTGCATTCAAGATATGTTCAAATGTGCATGTACCATTTTTTTTTAACATTTACAATGTAAGAATTAGTTGAACCAATGTATGTTTTTTTTTTCTTGACAGGCAAAAAAATCAATTTATTCTCACCTAAGCACATTAGCAGATTTTTCAATTGAAATGTTTGATGTTCTTGATGAAATCAACTATCAGTCTTACAATGACTTTGTTCTCAGAGTGGGTAAGTAAGTTATTTCAGCAATAGTCTGACACAAATTACTGAGTTTCCTCAAAGTAAACTTTTAAAAAAATTTTGAGTATTATATACATTCAAATTATCATTTAGATATGTCTAGACACTCCTTGTCAGTAAAAGACAATGGCCATGTGATAACAAGTTAAACAAAATCAAGAGAAAGTACATTTTCTTTTCATTATTTTTGGTGTATTTTTTACTGTTTTATGTTAAGAAATATAAATTAACATTTAAATACACCAAAACCATACAGTATACAATCTCTTTATATTTGTCAGGGTGATAGACAGTATTCTCACCCTTCTCATACATCTCCACTAACAGCACATTAAACCCAAAATGGTTATTCAAAGTCTTAAAACCAGTGAACAGTCTGACAGGGCAATGCTCATGGCTGAAATTGTGAAACACCAAAGTTAAATGCTTGGTAGATTGTGCAGAAGATGATGACAGGAAATGGAGGAACAACTTGCAGATACTGAGGCTCTCTTAAAATGCTAAACCCAGTGACCCAGCAGCCTTTACTGAAAAATACAGATATATGATATTTTTCCTTCACGTAATTTTCCAGATATTTGTTCATGTAAAGAGCTAAATGCATTTCCACATGCCTGGTTTCCCTAGGCATGCCAAAGGCCAAGTATTGAATAGGGAGACATAGGGACAAAATTAGCAAATTAAAGAAACAGAAACAATATGTGAGTGTTTTTCCTGTTATTGCATAGGCTTCCTCTTGGTGCTCTGGCTTCTTTCAGCACTCCATAAAGTTACTTTAGGTTATCAGCTTCCATTCAAACTGATCCTAGTATGTTTATCTATGACTGTGGTAGGAACATTAGACTGTAATGACTACATTCAGATCTGGGAGCTGTAAGTGGACCTGTAAGTGGCCTTTATTAAACTAAAACAGGCTATGTTATTCTGATTATCTAGGGACCACTTTATGTCAAGGGAATGAGCCTGTCTATCACTCAGCAAAGTTGCACTGCCTTTTAAACAGTAAAATATAAAACAGCAAAAATCATATTTTGAACTGTGGTTTGTTTTTGGCATTCTGATTAGCACATTGCTCAGAATGCAGAACAATAAACAGCACTTCAGCCCCTACAGTTGCAAGAAAAAAGTATGTGAACCCCTTGGGATTACGTGGAGTTTTGCATGAATTGGGCATAAAATGTGCTCTGAACGTCATCTAAGTCACAACAATAGAAGAACGCAGTCTGCTGAACATAATACTACATAAACATTAGATGTTGCCATGGTTTAATTGCACATAACATGTAAACATTCACAGTGCAGGGAGGAAAAAGTATGTGAACCTTTAGACTTAATAACTGGTTGACCCTCCTGTGGCAGCAATAACCTCAACCAAACGTTTCCTGTAGTTGCAGATCAGACCTGCACAACGATCTGAAGTTATTTTGGACCACTCCTCTTCACAAAACTGTTTCAGTGTAGCAATATTCTTGGGATGTCTGGTGTGAATCGCTCTCTTAAGGTCATGCCACAGCATTTCAATGGGGTTGAGGTCAGGACTCTGACTGGGCCACTCCAGAAGGCGTATTCTGTGCTGTTGCAGCCATTGTTTTGTTGAATTACTTGTATGCTTTGGGTCATTGTCCTGTTGCATCACCCATCCTCAGTCATTTTTACAGGACGACCATGCCTAGGGGGAGTAGCAACAGTGCTAAACTTTCTCCATTTGTAGACAGTCTGTCTTACCGTGGACACATGAACATCAAGACTTTTGGAGATACTTTTGTAACCCTTTCCAGCTTCATGCAAGTCAACAATTCTTGATCGTAGATCTTCTGGGAGCTCTTTTCTGCGAGGCATGGTTCACATCAGACGGTGCTTCTTGAAACCAGTAAACCCAAAACAGGTGTGTGTTTTTTAAGGGCAGGACAGCTGTCAGCAACACATCCAATATCATCACACTGATTGGAGTCAAGGTTGGCTCACTCCTGGCTCCAATTAGCTCTGGGAGAAGTCATTAGCTAGGGCCTCACATACTTTTTCCTCCCTGCACTGTGAATGTTTACATGTTATGTGCAATTAAACCATGGCAACATCTAATGTTTGTGTAGTATTATGTTCAGCAGACTGTGTTCTTCTATTGTTGTGACTTAGATGACGTTCAGAGCACATTTTATGCCCAATTCATGCAAAACTCCACGTAATCCCAAGGGGTTCACATACTTTTTCTTGCAACTGTATATCACAGAAGTACTGTTGTGCCTCAGTCAGTTACATAGAGCTCAAACTAGCAAGGGTGATGTTCAAAACTAACCTTGGAAGTATTTTTTTTTTACCAAAAGAGTAGTTGGTGCTAGCAACTGACTTCAAGTAAGGGTAGTTAGTCAAGTAATAGTAAGCGAATTCCTTAAACTTGCTTGGGATAAACACAGGTCTACTTAGCCAGAAAAGGTACTATTTAGTAAAAGTGCTTGGTCCTTGGTCCTGGAATGAAGTCCTTGATCTTGGAATGAAATGAGCAGTATTATTCTGTAATGTAGGGGGCTTCCCTTATACAGTGCTCATCAAAATGTTTAAATGTTTGCGTTTTTTTTTTAATGGTGATATACTCTTTAATGGCAAAGTTGAAACACCTTCAAAGTGGTGTTTTGTACATGCTACAGTTGTAGATGGCAGGGGTGGACTGACCATTTGGAAACTCAGGCACTGCCCGAGGGCCCAGGGTCAGTAGGGGGCCCCATGAGATGCCCCCTGGTACCTTTTTCATAGGCTTTTTTGAGTTTGGGCAAGGACACAGGGGCCCCATGATCCCCTATTGCCCGGGGGCCCCATGAGCTGTCAGTCCACCCCTGGTAGATGGCATTAGTTAACACTAGTGTTCAGGGCCGTGGATAAGGGGGCACCACCAGTCCTCCTGTATGGGGCCCAGGCCAGCGGGGGGGCCCAGGCAGCTGGGTGAATTGGATGTGGGCAGGGAGGGTGGTGGGTGTGACGGTGGGGCTATTACTAGAACTGATCCCCTGTATGGCTCTCTGCAGCAGCTGGAAGCTGTCTTGTACTTTTCCCCCTCTTGCTGGTTTTTAGCTGCTGCAGAGAGAGCCATACAGGGGCTGTGGTTCCAGTAATAGCTCCCCTCCGCACCCAAAACCCTCCCTGTGCACCATATGTTTACCCCTGCTGCCCAGGCCCCCCTGTGTGCCCCCCCCCCCCGCAGTGATGCCAGCTTCTCTCCTATTCCCACCGGCAGCTACAAGCACACAATACGATCCTTCAGGATGGAGAATGGGGGAAGGGTCCAGTAAATATTGTCACATGCCCCTTCCTTTCCTGAATTAACCCAGAGAGTGATTGGTACTGATCACTCACTGTGTTCATTCATAACTGAAGCATAGTAAGCCGTTTTTTGTGTGTGGGGGGGGGGGGGCCTGTTAGGTTGGCTATATGGGGGCCCCATGGTTTCTAACACCAGCCCTGCTAGGGGGGAGGAGTGGTAAAAACAGGTGGTTTCCCCCAACCACCCACCTCTAAGGGTGAAGGAGAGAGGTCACATGGCCATGATGCTTTACTTCACAGTGTGGCAATCTGAACTTGTTGAGTCGATTGTCACTCTCTTTATGTATTGTGTAGGGTGATTGGGCTTGTATTTGCCTCACCTGTAGTTTTCTGCCGGAATCATGTAGAAGGTGGACTTGATGAGTTCCTCCTACAGCTGTGCTTTGTGTAGATACTGTGTGCAGCCCAGTGTTGTCTCTCCACTATTTGTAGAAGGTCACATCTGGGATGGCATAGGTATAAGATGCTCAAGAAATTAGTTTATACCCTATCAAGGAAATATTTCTGCCCAGAGTTTAGCTAGAGATAGAAAACATATATATAATACTTGCCCTTGCTGCACAGAATTTCCAGGCTTTCTTGGGCTTTGATGCAACTGAAAAAAAAATTATTTAAAGGTTGTGAGTAGTCCCAGAATAGGCCTCTTGACCCAAATTTTAATATTGATATTCACCATTTATTCATGGTAGGGTAAATCTGAATATTTTAACCCCCTTAGAGTTGTTATAAGCCTCTTAATAGCCTCCCTCTTGCATGATCACTTACTTTTGGTGGAAGGCCTGTCTTTGGTTGAATTACGGTTGTGTCATGCTCTTCTGTCTCTTAAAAAAGGATTTAACTGTTCACCAATTGATATTCAGTGACTTGGAATTCAGTGACGTGTTCCATCCACTGACAGGTCCTTTTTTTAATTACCTTTAGTAGAGTTGCTTGGAGTGCTTTGTTGTCTTAATAGTGGAGATTATGCAACGTGTGGCTGTCCCTTAAGTCAGATTTGCTTTGCACGTGTATGCAAAGCTCAGGTTTAGACAAACAGATGGGCAACATATACATCCACTGCCAACTTCATATAACAATAATCCAAACTCATAGATAACAGGCTTTACAGATTTCATTTTAAAAAAAAAAAAAGTTTACATACACTAAGCAAACTAGCAGCCTTGCACTATGACAGCCCAGCTGTCCATAAATCGTTATCTGCTGGGCCACTGTAGAGCACTCTTATCCAAAGACATACTGTATGTTCAGTCTCTGTTCCTATATAAAAATGAAGAAACACTATCATTATTTGAAAGTTACAGATAATATAACAGAATATGTAGAAAAGAAATCAAAGCCATAAAAATTGAAAATGAACGACAGGTTACAAAAGAGAAAAAAACACAAAAATTCAGCAAATATATTCATAGTTGAAATTTCAGTTCTGAGTATGTAGGCCCTTTACAAGATAATTTATAGTTGGTGACTGGGGACAACAAAGAGCAGGCCAATGCATTAACCACTTGCCCTCCAGAAGATATACACCCCTTCCTGACCAGGCCATTTTTTGTGATAAAGCGCTGTGTTACTTTAACTGACACGGTCATGCAATGCTGTACCC